ACATGGTTTCAGAGAAGTTGCTTGGAAAAAACTCACATCTGAACTGATTCCTAAAACATACCATTCCACCACTCTTTGTCTGTTGGTTCAAGTATAGATTACTGCCATCAGTATGTGTTCCTGCATTCTAAGATACTTGGTAATGAGACAGAAGGAAGAAGGCCCTCTGGGAACCACCCTTGTGACCTTAAAGTGTGGAAAGAAGAAAAGGCAGAACAGAAGTATGACGATCAGGACTGAGCAATCAGAAGCTTGTAAGAACAGCCAACCAAAATGCTGCTTTCTGCACACCTAATTAGCATAGAGATTGAGCAATGCCCTGGAGAGAAAGGATAAAAACCTGGGATCAGTCTTTTGTTGAGCACCCTCTCTTGGGACCCCCACTTCCCCAATTCTGGGGCTCTACTTTCCCACTTTACACTTTTCTATCTCAAGAAACTCTTCTGCTTTTATACTTCTCTCTTTGTCCGTGAAGTTCATTCTTCAGCTTTGTGGGTCAAGAACCAGGTCTAGGTCGTGTGCAAATCTCTGGTTTCAATAATAAACTTGATCACTTCATCTTCAATTGGTTCTGCAGATTTGTCAGCAGGTGGTACAGGCTGTGCTTTTCTCTGTGGTCTTTCTTCAAGACATTCCAGGAATGGGAAGACATCACCATCATCATAGATGATAAACTCCATTTTACCAACAATTCCAATGGGAACATTCTTTGTAGTTAGGTCCTGCTCTGCCAGGGATGTCTCTCTTAGGATAACCAGACTATGTTTAATCAGATTGTTTAATTTGCTCCTGCCAAAACTCAAACTTATGTCTCTTTGAGTAAGTATGAACTGATTGAGAATGGGCTCCAGTGGACACAGTTCTATAGTCAAAATAGTTAGCAGATGGAAAGATGTGGAGAATGTGAGGGCCTATATCATCATAAACCAAAAACAACAGCACAGTGTCATGTGGTCTTCAGTCACTCTGGTATGTTGCTCTCTGGGTCTTGCTTGTAATTAGAGATACAAGACAAGACACAGAAAGCGATCTATCAAAGACAAATATGGAATCCACACACTCCTGCTGCACAAAATTATCTAATAGTCTATCTTCTGCAGTAAGCCTGGCAGTGGAGACACCAATATGGCTGTCAACATGGAGAATTTTTCTCTGGTGAGTTGCAAGTTCTGACTGCGCCCTGTCAACGAGACCAACACACTGAATGTTGTTGTTGTTTGGTGTTTTACATTAACTGTAGCCAAACCTGGCTTAATAGCTTCCACTGCATATTCAATCTGATGACTCCTGCCCTGAGGGCTCCAAACAGTGACATCATTATCATACTGGTTGCAAAATATAGTTTCTCTGGGGACCTGGCTGCCAGCCTCCAGCAATGCTGCAGAATCAAGCAACCCTAAATCTTAATGGCTTAACAAAATAAAAGTTTTCTTTTCAAGGATGCTTTTGAGCAGTGATTCATGGATCTGCAAGTCTGTTTTGTGACCTCAGTTGGGTAGTGGTGGCTCATGCCTATAATCGTAGCTATTGAGGCAGAGATCAAGAGTATCACAATGCAAAGCCAGCCAGGGCAAATAGTCTGCAAGACCCTATCTCAAAAATATCCAACGCACACAAAAAAACAAGGCTAGTGGAGTGGCTCAAGTGGTAGAGCGCCTGCCTAGCAAGCCTGTCTCCTCTGAGACTCAAGGCAAACTCTTAGCTGCGAGCACCTGTAAAATAGTAACATACTTTCAAGACCATTCCTGTGTCCAAAAGGGAGAAATGAGGGCATAGAAAGGAGGAATGGAACCAAAGAACACCAAAAGCCAGGATTAAGTCCTGTAGCTCCAAGCCTGGCATCAAGGAATCTTTGCTATTGATGCAACGTACTAGCTTCTTTTTAATGGCCCTCATTTCTTCAGCAGCCACACTTTCCTTGGCTCTAAGTTTACCTGCACTTTTCTGGGCAAACTCCAAGTGTTTCAAACCTTTCCACTCTGATTTTTGCTCACAATCTTCATTTTTATAAACTTGGCTGGAAGCAGCCAGTGATACCCAGGCTGTGCTGCCTTGAAGTTTCCTCCACCAAATTAATGAGTCCATTACTTTAAAATTCAGCATGTCTCAGGGCCTGGACAAAATGCAACACATTCTTTCCCAGAATGTAATAAGAATGGCCTTGTAGGCCAATAACCAACAGGGTTCTCATTCCTACCTGCAACTCATGAGCCCAGCCTTTACTCTTCACACTCCTATCACACTCTGGTCTTGAGTTCACACCACAAGCTCTGCTTATAGCCACCCAGGCCTTTTCTAGCCCACTTCTCCAAACCTTTCCAAATTCTTCCCACAAACCAGTTCTTAAGTCTTCTGAACACATCATCAGGACTCGTCACAGCAACAACTCTACTTGTCAGCATCAATTTTCTGTTAGACTTTCATCACTGTTGCAGCATACCTGAAGTAAACTACTTAAGGGAGGAAGACTTATTTTGACTCCTGGTTCCAGAAGTTTCAGTCCATTATGGTGAGGTGTCATCGCAGAGCACAGCAGTTCACTTCGTGGTGGCCAGGGAGCAGAGAGTACCTAAACTTTTTTTTTGAGGGTCTGGAGATTGAACTAGTACAGCAAATGCTAAGCAAGTGCCACACCACTGACTTACCCACCCACCCCCAGCTTCAATGTCAATATCCAAAAAGCTCGTCCTCACTTGGTAGTTCTAGTTTGTTCACTTCAAATTCTAGAAATTTGAACACAGTCCAGCCAGGTGCAAGGCAATCATGTTACTCGAAGTATATGTTATACTGTACTCTAACTGTAGTGACTGTTTACCCTTCCCTTTGCTAGACATGTGTGCATGTATGCATGTATACATATTACATACGATAAAAGCAAATGTGGTAAAAACATCAACAGATGAACAGTTCTAGGAATATCCATTCTATTTTTTTCAACATGTTGAAATTTTTCAAAGTAAGTTGGGAAACCCAATGTTTCCTGGACTTTACACAATGCAAAACTTATTGCAAGCAGATTGCATGACTGATCTTACTGGCCTAAGGTAAATGGATTTGACTTTTAACATTGCGTAGGTAAACTGTAATACTTGTGTGGGTTTTCATTGTGATCACTGGCACTTATTGATTGCAAGATTGACATGTGGGTTTTTAATGAGAAAAGTACAACTGTGAAAGAGTAGGCTGGCTGTGGAAATGAGTAGCTCACATGTTAGTCCTGTGCTTATTCTGCTTCCAAAAATAAATAAAATATTATTCTCATCTCTACAGAATAAAACTAAGAGTTAGAATCAGACATAACTCTTTTAAAGGCAGTGCTAAATTCAGACTAAATAGCTGGCTCATTTATAATCAGAACTATTAAAAACACATTTATTCATTGTAAGGCATCCAGGACTTGGAAGACTATGCTATTTTAAAATACTGAGCCAAAAAATATTTTATTGCTTCCACAGCATGGAAATGTTTCAATAGCCTGCACAAGCCAACTCCACTCTGGTAAGGTACCTGGGTGTCTGGAAGGAACTAGCTCTGCGGGGGCCCACCTTCTCCAGGCTGTACTCACCAGTCCTGTGCATTCTAACAGACTAATCATGGACGCAACTTCCCCATGGGTTTACAGAAAACAGATCAGCATACCAAGGTGGATACAAGTTTTTAAACTATGATCAGGAAGAACACCATCTATTAATCACTGGATTTTAAAATGTTCTACTCAACTATCACTTGATTCAAGGAACTTTCAAGTTACCTGTCTTTTTCCCCCCTTACAGAACCAAAGCTCAGATGTGGGAAATAAGTAGAATCATCAAGATTTAAAAGAAAAATTCCTGGAAAAGCACATTGCAAAACCAAGTCCACCTCCTTTCCCTCCCTTCCCTCTGCAACCTTTTGAGATTAGTGAGTTTCTTCTGGCAGGATTTTGTGTGTGTGTGTAAATGGGATTGTTTGAATCCAGGGCTTTGCAGCCTCCCAAGTATATTAGTAGCTTTCAGTCTTTAATAAGCTTAGTCCTATAGCCCAATGTATGCCCACTCATTAAAAAGACAGATGTTCTGATTTTTGGGTCTTGGGGAAAGGGTAGGGATGCATCTGGACAAACACCCCCAGGTGATTCTAATATAGTGGTACCTGAATCACTGAGAACCACCACTTTCAAGTCATCCCTCTGGGACTGCATGGATTTCACGGCCCTTGAAGTCCAATATTTCCTCTACAAGATGATTTCCTCAAGGCACCATCCATTACCTTTCTCTAGGTACATTTGCCGCCAGGGAAATCACCAGCATTTGGGAGACTCTGCAAGGTTAGCTCAGAGTAAGTTGTCACCTTATTTTAAAAAAAAGCTCAACAGTATGTTTTCTGTACTCAGAGGTTTCCAACATTTTATTTTGCAGACCACTTGTGTGTAGCTTTTGAGGACCAACATCTGTATAAATTTCTATAAAATGTCCAATTAGTGTCCCTTCTGGGCAGCCTCTGCACTGCTTGCCAGACTTGGGTGGCTTCAGGTCCAGCTATGTACGCCTAACGCCACTGCTCCGGGAGGGCACGTCCACACAGCAGCGTCTTCCTTCCAGGGAGCTCCATGTGCCCTGCTGTGGTTTCCTGTGGTAGAGATGGAAGGCTCATGAAGCTCAGCTTTGGTGCCTGAAAGCAGGGAGCATTCAGAAACTTGCACAGATGAGGTGCTTTTCTCTCATGAAGATACACTTGAGGTCTCAGTGCCTTTGTGCTTAAGGATGGGAATCCCTCCTAACTGCTTAGTAGGTTAAAATATAAGGAAGCCTCTGCTTTTAAGTGACACAGATAACACTTTTTTAGATTGCCTATTTGTTCTAGAACTACAAAATTTAATTCAAGAAAATATAGGTCCCATGAAAGACTTAAAAGTTTTATAAAACTAAAATCTAGTTTTCCCCAATAAATTGTACTTTAGGCAAAACCCTCCAATGCTTCTAAAATAATACTAAAAGGAGCATCTGATTATACAAGAGCAATTAAAAAATTAAATATTTATTTGAATAACAAGTTTAAATTCGAGCTGCAATGTTGGCAATGCAGATTTTTAACACAGACCACAAAAAGCGTGCACAAAAAAGGTACTGGCGCAAAGGAGAAAGTGATGCTAAGATTAGGCTAACGAGCGCTGATCTGAAGAAACAGAAGGCCTAAAATCACTATACAAAATATAAAACGTATTAAACACTACCATCCACAGAACAGTCTTTATTATTGATTATATTTAAAAATTATTTGCGTAATTATATATTGAGTTGCAAATGAGTATTATACATGAACCCCTATGGGAAGGCAATTCCTTGTTGCACTATAGAACATCTAATTACACTGCAAAAAGTATCCTTTTTTTGCTGTAAGTAAAGAAACAGTTAATGATAGTACTGTAAATATCAGGAGGCTACAAAAAAAAGAAAGAAAATTCCTCTTCTGTTGTTCAAGTGCTCTCCATGCAGAGCGAAGCACCTGCCTTGTGCCTTGTTGAACTGACCGCACTACAGGAGAACCAGCCCTGGCCCACAAGCCAGACTCAAGGAGCACGCACCCTCTCACTACAGGGAGACCATTGTGTCACTTACCAACTCTCTTTCCAGAATACCATCCAACACTGCTATGATAAATATACATAAAATGAAAGACAAACTGCTGTGTGACACTACTCTCAGTAATGCCTGTGCCTGTGTGAAAGCACCTTTAGAAAGAGCCTATGCGGCAAAGAGATACGTGTCTAAAGATTCAAAATGAATCAACAGTATTGGATAACAATATAATTCTCAACTCAGAAGCTGCCAAGATTGGGTGCATCTTCAGTTAATGTAACAGGAAAAGAAGGCCATGGATTTCATTTTATTAATTGTATCCACTCACAAACCGACCTAAGGTCACCAGATGTGTAGACACAATGAGATTTTTGTTCTTATAGTCTTTAATTGAAGTGATGATAAGGAATTAGATCTATTTAAAAACAAAACCAAATAGCTCTTTCTGTCTAGATTAAGAGGTGGCGCCAGGTGTGGGGTTCACGTTTTGTGTGGCCACTTGTGGTGCAACTTCAATGATCCGGGGCTTATCTATGATTCTGGCCGTGCGGTTGCCCTTCTCTACAATCCCAATAATCCATGCTTGGTGGCCTTCGCCGTATTTCGGGGACTTTATCTCTGCACAGAACCGAGCTGCTTGTTCACGTGGTAAACAGATCAGAAGGCCTCCTGGCAAAGGAAAAGAAAGAATTACCTTCAGTGGTCACATTAAGAGCAGAGAACAGTTTCTCTGAATGTCCTAAAAAAACTTCTGAACAGATTGAGGTTTAACCAAATCTGTTCAAGTTACTCTTTTCATTAATCTAAGAAGCCTGAACTATTTTGTATATTAATTTTTTGGTAAATTTCCTACTATATCAAAACCCAGACATACAACAAACATTAAACTGAAAATGACCTATTTGAACCATTTTCTACTATGTAGAGTAAGGGGTTCGAACCCTTAGAAACCTATGGTAGATATTTTTCCATGCTACACTGAAAAAAATATTTGCCAACAGAAGAGAAATGCTCTTCTTTTCAATCTGATTCCCTATGTGGATCCCCATCTTACCAAGAATGCTTTTTTTCTTTTAAATTTAAGATTCACGAAACAGCATATACTACATGGTATCTAGGCTTTAGTCCTCTCATTATCTCTAAAATGCAAAAAGCATAAAACACAGTAAACTTCATTGCTATTTCTAGCAGCCAGGCCAGTAAGGAGAACATGATCAGGAAAGATATACACACTGTACTCTACTTTTATAAAACAGCAAACACTTCTTTTGAGACAGGGTCTCACTTCTCTACATATCTCATCTCAGGTTGGCCTGAAACTCAAAATTCTGCTTCCACTTTCCAAGTGCTGGGATCACAGGCTTGCGTCACTATACATTTTTTCTTCTCTTCTGGAGATACTGGGGATTGGACTCAGGGCCTCCCACTTGCTTAACAAGTGCTCTACAACTTGAGCCACATTCCCAGCCTTAAAACTCCTCATTTCCAAATAAAGGAATTAAATTTAAGTGATTGGCAATATTCACTAATTTACTCCACATTAATTCAGTGCCCACTAGGTGGCAGACACTGCTCCAGTCAGCTACTCAGCCAACAGGAAAAATCTCTGCCCCACTGGAGCTACTTCTAGAAATGTTAGTTTGTGTTAAGTAGGAAATTAAAGGGTCCTTACAAAGGCTGGCAGTGTTAAAATCCCAAGTCACTACACAAGGGTTGACACAGGCAGGGCTCTGTGGTCCCCACCTCTGGCCACACACCAGAATCATCCAGGGAGCCAGGCCCATTCCAGACCAGACTTTTATACCCCAGGGTATAAAAGTAGTTATAAAGGAAAGGAAACAGAAATAAAAGAGAAACTAAAAAACATAGGGAGACCTAAAAGGTGAAGTAGAGTAGTCAAGGTAAAGGGAAAAGAAGAAAAAGGCACTTTGAAACACAACATACTATTTCACTCTTAAAAACAATTTCAGACACTTTTTCAAGTTAAAAATACAGATCTGGGTATTACACTTTACTTCAGTGTTTCTAATGAGAATTGAGTCATGACTTCTCTTAATCCAACTGTCCCCATGCCACAGTGTCACCATATCCCTACGTCAAAAAGGAGAACGTAACACTCCACGCAAAATCCTGCTCCCAGCACACAGGAGATGGAGGTGGCAGGTGGCAGGGCTACCTGGAGCAGCCTCATGCACAGCAGGGACATGTCCACGCACCCAGCTGTGTCCTTCTCCTGGAACTTTCCGTGGCCTCACTGACATTCTCTCAGACTTGGGCCCCAGACCCCCATACCTGACGTCTCCGGGCAGGTCCCATGCATGAGGCCAAACATGTTTCCACAAGCCTTGCTCACGGCAGCCATCTTGGCCAGCACAGGAAGGTTGTGAATCACAAACGACACCTCATTCCTCTGCTGCTTGGCCAGGTTCTGTGCATGGCCCAAAATCCCGAAGCCTGTGATGTCGGTGGCTGCATGGGCATTGAATGTGTGCATAAGTCCTGCAGCTGAGAGAGCACAGAGCAGAGACTGTAGGAAAAGCCATCTTTCCTCATCTCAACGCCTCATGCACTAGGTGACCTTAAAATTGTTCATCTGTCAGGCAGACGGCATATATAATGACAATGCTGTATCATAAAATCAACAAAACCAGAGTGAAGTTCTGCAAGCTCATTTCTCATTTCAATTTAAACCAATTGGAAAGTATCAGCACCTTCAATCAAATGGAAGAAAACCTATTCAAAACTACTCTAAGGGCTGGAGGTATGGCTTGAGTGGTAAAAATGCCTGCCTAGCAAGTGTGAATCCTGAGTTCAAACCCTAGTACCACTCGAAAACAACAACAACAAAAAAAGTACTCTAAAGAACAGGACTTATTAAATGCCTGGCTTAAAAAAAAAAAATCAAGATACTCTTACTAGAGATGAATTGCCTGAAAACTTACTTTTTAAAAATTTTATTTATTTATTTTTGAGATGGTCAGTTTTTGCTTTTTGTTTGCTAGTACTGGGGTTTGAACTCAGGCCCTCACGCTTCCTAGGCAGTTGCTCTACCATTTGAGTCACTCTGCCAGCCCAGAGACAGGGTTGGGCTAGAACTTTCTGAGTGCTGGGATTACAGCTGTGAATCACCACACACAGCCTGCTTTTTTCATGTTTTTGATTTTTAAAAAGTAATAAACTTTGGAACAATTTTGTGTTTAGAGAAAAATTGGGTTAAAGGGCAGGAAAGTTTCCATGCCCCACCTCCCCAGCTGTGTTTATATTAATTTGCATAACTACAGTACATCTGATGAGTCAAACTTGCTCATTTCTAATAACTAAAATGCACATCACAGTCCACTGTGTCAATTCTAGGAATTTTCACAAATGCGTAACGACAGTTTCTTAAGGAGTCGTTTCACTCCCGTGAAAACCCTGTGCTCCATTTGTTATCACTCCCCCTGCCCAGCACTGCTGCAGCCACTGACCTACTTACTGTCTCCCAGTTTCCCCTTTCCCAGAATGTCATATATTGGGGATCATATAGCATGTAGTCTCTCTCTTTTTTTTGGAGGGACTGGGGTTTGCACTCAGGGCTTTGCACTTGCAAAGCAGGCACTCTACCACTTGAGCCACACTTCCAGTCCATTTGCTCTAGTTATTTTGGAGATGGGGTCTCATGAACTATTTGCCCAAGCTGGTCTCAAAACATGATCCACCTAATGTCAGCCTCCCAAGTAGCTGGGATTACAGGTGTAAGCTGTGGTGCCTGCTCAGTATGTAGTCTTTTCAAACTGGCCTCTTTTACTTAGCAATATGCAGAAAGGGGTCCTCCTGGGTTTTTTCATAGCTTTATAGCTCATTTCTTTTTGCTGTTCAATGATATTCTATTGTCTGGATGTGCCAGTTTGTTTATCAGTTTGTCCTCTCAAGGGACGTCTTGTCTGCTTCTAAGTGCTGGCAATCATGGACAAAGGTGTTACACACCTGTGTGAGGAGGTTTTTGTGAGGACTCCTTTAAGTAAGAATCAAGGGCACAGCTGTGGCATCCTGTAGTTTAGTCCTGTCAGAAGCTGGCAGCCCAATGAAGTGCCTGCACCATGATGCATTCCCACTAAAAGGAATCAAAGTCCTGCTGCTCACAGCCTTGTCAGCATTTGCTGTTGTCAGTGGTCTAGATTTTAGCCATAATTTATTTATTTAAGGACACAAAGTCAAATAATAAAATAATTTAGAATGCAAGAGAATAAAGATAAAATTCAATGACTATTCCTAAGCAGGAATTGAGACAGGAGTAGGGACTGGAGACACCTGGGCTCCCCAAGATCATGTTCTGTTTTTCAGGGAGATGCATTGTCATTCCTTAATAAAATAATTTTACCTTATGAAGTTGTTTATTTCTATTCAATATGTAATTTAAAATTTAAGGAAGGGCAGATGTTGAGAAAAATCTTCTTTGTATTTTTAATAAAGTAACTTTAAAATCTTTTTAAGATCCTCCAGGTCAACACTAATATTTTATTAAAAATATTAATAATTGGGGTTGGAGGCTCAAGTGGCAGAGCACCTGCCTAGCAAGTGTTGAGGCCTGAGTTCAAACCCCAGTACCACCAAAAAAACCAACCAAACAAAAAGCAACAACAATTGAACATTTCATATAAGCATTACATATATTTGGATCAAAGTCACTTGGGGAAGCTGCAGAGAAGAGAAAATACACAGAAAGTATTTTCAAATACATTTCTAATTGCTGGTTCACATAATCCCAAGAAACTAAGAGTGACTCTTTTTTTAGGACTTTCTGATTGTTGAGAGAGGGGTTTTGTTATGTTGCCTAGGCTGGTCACAAACTCCTGGGCTCAAGTGATTCTCTCAAGCTCCCGAAAAGTTGGGACTACAGGTACATACCATCACATCTGGCTCTAGAACTTTTTTAAACTTCATGTTTAATTAGAACTTCATCTTCAAGTACCTTCAAAGTCCTAACATAGGATGCTATGCAACCCAAGTCCTTAAATAGAACAATTGGTATTTCCAGACTGTCAACATTTCTATACTAAATGTCAGCTTGCTTCTAAATCCGTTACACAGAGCAAACTACACAGATACTTTCTAGAAATAGTTCCATTGGCATAGGAACAGTGAGGATTCACAAAGACCCAGCAGAGGTGCTTCCTGCTTAATTATAAAACACTTAACTGGTGCTTCCTTATACACATGTGAATATAAATAAAAACTGTGAGTATAAGATATTAAACTTCATCCAGTGATTCCCTTGGCAAGTTTTTTTTCTAATACAAGTTACATTTTTTGTTTTGTTTTTTTTGGGCGGCATTGGGGTCCGAATTCAGGGCCTCACACTTGCTAAGCAGGTGCTCAACTATTCGAGCCACTCCAGCAGCTACAAGCCACATTTTATTTTGTTTTTTATTTTTTCTGCTGAGAACACACAATATTCAGATGCTCCTCTATTCACAATGGGGTTATGGGATAACCCTACTGTAAGTTGAAACTGCAACTCAAAAATGTATTAAACACACCTAACCTACCAAATATGATAGCTTAGCAACAGAGTGCACCATACAGGGGTGTCTGCCCTTATGATCAAGTGGGAATTAGGAGCGGTGGCTTGCTGCTACTGCCCAGAACTGCAGGAGAACACAAGAGAAGGTCATACTGTGCATCTCTAGCCTGGGAAAAGATTAACATTAAAAACTGAAAGTATGGTTTCTACTGAATGTGTCTTGTTTTCTTTCACAACATCATGAAGTTGAAAAACTGTGACTGGAATCATCATAAACAGGGAACAATCTGACTTCAGATTCCCATTAGTGATCTATGAAATGCAAAGCAGGTATCAAGAGAAGATGGTGCAGGCCCCAGGCAAATCTAGCCCGTGGCACATTTCTCAGCCAACAACAGCTCTCAAGGAAGGAAAGCTAGGAAGGAAGGAAAGCCCGTGGAGGGGGTGTGAAATCAACATGAACTGTAACTATACGTGGCCAACTAAGCCTGTGCTGCCCCACGCTCCGCGGAGCATATACCCCATGCCTGTACCTGTCCTGTTGAGCCGCGCCATGTTCACCATTGCCTCTTGGTATGCTAGCTCCACGTCTTCCTGGGTTACCACCAGCTTAATTTTATTCCATTTTTCAGGCTAACAATAGGAACACAGGTGAGGGAGAACAGAGAGGGAAATCGTAATTAATCTTTCCTTTGACCTCTGATAAAAACAGCACCTTTTCTCTTAGGCATCTTCTGGGGCACATTGTTCATATTTTGTGGTGGGGATCAAACCCAAGGCCTCCTACATATTAAGCACTCCCTCTTCCATTGGGTTTCATCCCAGCTTTGGGGAGGTGTATTAATCTAGTTTTAATGTGAGTCTTACTTTCAGAGTACACTGGACCTACCATCATGTTCTCTTTTCTGTTCATGCCATTCCTGTCATCAAGTATTGCAGTTTACTGACCACGCAAACCTAGCAGGACACAGCTCCACCACACAGGCAGTACGAGGTACGTGAACACAAGGCTGCAGTGTTTTGCTCTGGCACATTAGTAATAATCCTGTGTGTCCTGGTTTTCCTCTCTACTTCTCCTATTAGCTGATGGTTTCCATCTTTCATGTTATGCTCTTATTGACTTAAATTGAATCTTGGAGTGAAGCTGTCTTGAAAAACAAATGGATGTGAAAGATACTTCAAGTACGTACATGCTGAGGACAGCTGTGGGTGACCAAAAAGTTTATCATAAAAGGGACAAAGCCCTTCCTTTGCTTTCCTTAGGCTGATTTTCTTTTTTTCTGAGCAGCACTGGAGTTTGAACTCAGGGCACTGTGTTTGCTAGGCAGGTGCTTTACCACTTGAACCAGGTCCCCAGCCCTTTCTACTTTCTGACTTTGTTTTTTGTGTGATAACGGGGCTTGAACTGAGGGCCTACACACTGACCAGCCATTCTGTTTTAGGTATTTTTAAGATAGGTCTTGTGAACTATTTGCCCATGCTGGCTTCGAACTGCAATCCTCCTGATCTCTGTCTCTTGAGTAGCTAGGATTACAGACGTGAGCCACCAGCACCTGGCATGATTTTTCAAGCAGGGTCTCGATTTATGCTCAGACCAACCTGGAACATGACACTTTGCCCAGGCTAGCTTTGAACTGCAGCAATCCTCCCAATCTCTGCCTCCTTAGTTAGGATTACAGACATAAGGTACAATTTCCAGGTTCTCAGTTTTGTTTTCCAAGAACACAGCACCATGAAGGTGGGTTCAAGGTACACTGTTATCATGGCCCATTAATTGCCCTGGTAATGCATTTCCTTATTTGTTTATCCAAGGGGGCCAGATGTAGAGGCACATCTCATCTACTTGGATGTGGAGGTGGGAGGATCTTGAGTTCAAGGCCAGTGTGGGCAAAGGTAGTAAGATGTTATTTCAAAAACAAAATACAGAGCTGGGTTCTGGTGGCTCATGCCTGTAATCCTACCTAACTTGGGAGGCTGAGATTGGGAGGACTGTGCTTTGAGGCCAGCCTGAGCAAAAAGTTAGTGAGACCCTTCTTAACCAGTGGCTGGGCATGGTGGTGCACTCCTATGACCCAAGCTATATGGGAAGCTGAGAGTAGGAGACTTAACAATTGCAGGACAGCTTAGGCAAAAAGCGTCTGACCTTAGATCAAAAGGAAAAAGCTAGGCATGCACCTGTCATTCCAGTGACATGGGAGGCATAAAATAGGAGCAATGTGGTCCAGGCCGACCTGGATAAAAAGTAGCACCCTATCTCCAAAACAGCCACAGCAAAAAGAGTCATGGTTCAAGCGATAGAGCACCTACCTAGCAAGCATGAAGCCCTAAGTTCAAACCCAGATATCACCAAAAGTAAATACATAAAAATTTAAAAATACAGAGACAGAGAATTTGAGATGTGTCTCCTCTGTCTTCTTTAGAGCTTTGAATAAACCTGTTTCCTTCCATCAACAAAACAAAAAAACCCGTAAAACACAAACAAAAGGTTTGGGGCACAGCTCAAGAGGTAGAGCTGAGGATGGCCCTCCATTCAATCCCTCACACTGTGGCGGGGGGAAGAAAAATCCAAAGGGATGGGGGTGCAGCTCAGGGATAGAGAGCCTGCCTAGCATGTGTTAGGCCTCTTGATCCCTAGCACCACAAAACAAACACAGCTCAATAACAGCCCTTGTGCAGGAACTAGACTCTGGCAACACCTTCCACCACCCCCATCTCCTTACCCGTCTCCCCAAGAGTAACAGCGACATTGACGTCTGTACTTGCCAGTCCCTGCCTTTCCAAACATAGTATTCTTATAATACAGATTCCAAAACAATACACTCTGTTTGTTTCTGATCTTTATAGCTTCTGAGCATTTTTAAAAAACTGGTTTAAAAAAAGCAAAGGTGTTGTCAAGCTGAGGTTGGGAGACTAGACAGATCCCAACCCCTCATCTTTGACATCATTTGCCTTGCCTGCTCCCAGCTCCCCTGTTGGACATGCAGGCCTGGTGTCACACTGGACAGCAGCCCCATGGATTGTCCAATCTGATTTATATCACTGGGTAAGGAGGGAAAAAATCACCAAAGAATGTGGCAGCCTTAGAGGATTTCTCATTCTGCTAGATCAAGCTAAGACATACTGGTTGGTGAATAACATAAAGTTATGTGTTACTCTTTTCCAATATTTTTTTTTGGCGGGGGGCACTGGGCGTTGAATTCATGCTTGCCAGGCAGACACTAACACTTGAGTCACACCCCAGCCCTTTTCGATTTGGTTATTTTCAAGATAAGGTCTCACTTTATGCTCAGGCTGGCCTGGTCTGAGATCCTTCCAGGCACGCACTATTGTACCCAGCCATGGGTTGAGGTTGGGTTTTGTGACTGTTTTGCCCAGGCTGGCTTCAAACAGAGATCCTCCCAATCTCTGTCTTCCAAGTAGCTGAGCCTTTCACACTTCCCAGAATTCTCCTTTATATTACTTTTTAGTGATGTTCAAGATGTGAAAGACAAAGCTACCTCAGGGGCCCAATAAACAGACAAAGCCACCCCTGCCCCCAAATTCCTTAGAAATCTCTGAAGCTCCACGTAAGGGATTATCTGTTCAGAGCACTCACGTAAGTACCGAGCTAACGGACTGTGCCACTGGAGCTCCTGTTCACAGGTTCAGGACGAGACTTTCATGTAATAGAGGAATATGGACAACTCTAGGGTGTCTTTAAGGACTTAACTGATATTCAACTCCCTGGTTTAAAACTTCAGGATCTCACTTTCAAACTGTCTCACGCAGATCACCACAGCCCCTCCCCCACCATGAGCAGCACTGTACTCACAATATCCAGCCACTGGTGCACAGCAACGGCGACTTGTGTCCCCAGGGGTTTTGTCAACACTAGCACGTCCCCTGGTACTGCATTGTCTGGCCTAAAGCAAAGGAAAAGAGCATGTTCTAGTCAAACTAACTGAGGCCATAAGCTTATTAGTATTGAAACAGGAGCAAAAAAATTCTTCTAACAATTGTCTGTTTTTGTACTTCAATTTAAGCTAATTACCACATGTAGTAGAAACACACCTTGCTACTCAGGCTACTGCCGGAACAAAGTACTAAAAGGAAAATGGTGGCATTCACAGGTGTAGACATGGGTCAATTATCTATAGATTATTAAAAAGATATAGCTGGACATGGTGGTACACACTCTAATTCCAGCACCCAGAAGGCTAAAGCCGGAAGACTGTGAGTTCGAGGCCAGACTGGGTTACACAGTTAGACCCTGTCTCGATAAAAGTTTGCACAGAATCAAGTCATTCACTCTTCAGAGGTTCCAGCAGCCCCATTTCCTTTCAGCTATAGATGAGTGTATAATTTATAGCCACCAGAGTTCAAAATATTTGAGGCAAAAATAATTCTCAAAGACTGACAGTTTGATCTGAGTTGTGTGTTTACTGTTCCCTCCACAGTAGAGACTCAGTGGGATTTGAGGTTATGGAATTTGGCTGGAATCTGAGTCTGGTGTTCTGGTAATCTCTGCACTCAGGTTCTCATACCCAGACTGCATTTCCTACCTGGTGCCCAATGGCTAGGTGGTCCCTGTCTTAAAGACAGGCGGCAAACACTGAAAAGGCAGTCCTGAGAGGAAAATGGCCACTGCAGTTGCATGCTCACCGTCAGGACTTGGTCATCTGATTCAAGCTACTGAAATCCTTGGCTAAGTCCATGTAAGAGTACTCTGGCACAGACTTCAGAACCAACACCTGGCTGCCCTGGTCAACCTATAACATCTGTTATCTACTGTCAGCTTTGAACAATGTAATTCTGTGACAGTATGAAAGAAACTCTTTTCCCAAAAACTAGACCTTCAGACAGAAATATCTTTCTTTGGCGGGGGGAGGAGGCAGTACTGGGGTTTGAACCCAAGGCTTTGCACTTGCCAGGCAGACCTTGAGCCACACTCCCCAGGAACCCACCTTTTTTGCTTTAGTTATGCTTCAGAGGACCACGATCCTACACATGCCTCCTGTGTAGCTGTAAGCGTGTGCCACTGTGTCTGGTAAAGTACTTTTCAATTCTGGCTCAGCCATACCAGAAAGCTGGTAAGCCCTTGTACACTGGAGCTGACAACTCATGAATCCAGATGAACTTAGCTGCGTGAAGCCTTGATGGTATTTTAAGTTTGTGGGCGGTATTTGATAGAATGTAACTCCTGACTCTCATGGCAGACAGGCTTATGATTTAAACAAAACTCATCTTTCATTCAAACACCTGACATTGTGAGCTCATATGAAAAATGCAAGTACAGAGGATGTTGTCTTAATTGGGTGTGTGTTCAGGTTCATTTTCTTTAATAAAGTAAAGATGCTTTGGAAAAAAAAAAGTGCATCAAAGCTTGCTTTATCATTTTCCTCCACAGTTCTGTTACCACAGTGCTCTTCTTCCACTAGAAAGCTGGACGCTGAGAAAGACTTTAGGATTTAACTGGAAAGTCTGACTACTAAGACAACAGATGCCTCTTTGTTAGAAAAGACAGCCTTGATGTTAGGTCCTTAAAAGGAAACCCCAGCTTCTTTCACTTAAAAAAATGGGCAGAAGATACAAATTTGAAAACATGCTCAACCTTACTCGTAAGAATAAGGTTAAACCCATTAAGTAGAGCAGGAAGAACAAGAAGCCCATCAGCCCACTGTGTTGGCCTACAGGTGGGGAGCCCAACATGCTACCCACTGCCATGGAGCCTCCCTGAAGAGCGAGCTAGAGATGGTTTTCAGAATTCACTACACAACACCTGACTTAGTGATTCCTAGAAAAATTTTTTTTTTGGTGGGAATGGAGTTTGAACTCAGGGCCTTATGCTTGCTAGGCAGGCACTCTACCAGTTGAGCTACTCTGCCAGCCCTTTTTTGCGATGTGTTTGCTTATCAGTGACTATTCAAACAAAACATAAATGGACTTTCTGCTACTTTCAGAAAATATGAGAGTGGCTTTTCTTAACAAGATATCAAATATGGAAAGTGACAGCTTGTGTTAAGGAACTCTCCAAAGAAGACAGGGAACTGGCCAGAAAACACAGGAACATCACCAGTCATCCAGGGAATGCAAACAAAAACCACAACAGGAGACCACCTCCATCCACCAGGATGGGCCCAATCAAAACAATGCAATAAAATAACTTCTGGAGGACGTAGAGAAACGTACGTGTGTACCCAAAACTCCTGCGCGTGAGTGCTCACGGCAGCATCATCATTCATCATAGGAAAAACCACCCAAAGGTCCACCAAACAGTGAACAAAGAACGAGGCATATCCAAGCAATTCAGCCATGGAAAAGAAAGCATCACAGATCCATGCTATGACTTGAAAAACTATGCTAAGTGAATGAAGTCAGATACAAAACACCATATATTGCACAATCCCACATACAGAAAATGTTCACGGGCACCTCTCTATAGGTGAGAAGTACATCAGTGATCACAGACCCCCCGGAGGAGGGACTGGGAGTGACTAACGCATGCTGGCTCACTTTCTGAGGTGACAGAAATGTTCTGAGACCTGATAGTGGTGATGGTTGCACAACATTGTACTCAACCAAACCCATGTACTGTACACTTTAAAATGCTGAATTACGTCTTATGTGGTATTTTGTTAGGTGAATTATATTCCAACTAAAATATCTAAAATTGAGCTGGGCATGGTAGTGCACACCTGTAATTCTAGCACTCAGGAGACTGAGATAGGAGGATCACAAATTTGAGGCCAGCCTGGGCTATATAGTGAGACCCTGACTGAAAAAGAGAAAAAAATCCTAAAGTCTTTAGAACAGGACAAAAGTACTGATACATGCTACAAAATATATGAACCATAAAATTTGTATGCTGATATTATGCAGAGTGAAATAAGCCAAGACAGGGATAGGAGGAGCAGGGAGTGATTACTACAGTGATAAGGAAAATGTTCTAAACTTGACTCTGATGATGGCTGCACTCTGTGAATACTGCACACCCACTGAACTGTGCACTTTAAATGGGTGAGTTGTAGGTAAGTGAGTGACACCCACTGCATCTATTCTTAAAGACAGAGAAGAAGAGTAAGGACATGAACAAAAACCAACTTACATGATAAACTCATTGGGCTGGCAGACAGTTGTTGCGACTCCTCCCAGGACAATCCAGGGGTTTAACACTGTCTGGCCACCTGTCACAGAGGTCCCCGCTTCCTCTGCTGCATCTTTAAAACCCTGTATAATTAGGGGTATCACTTTATCCCTTTCCTAGAGTGTAAAAGGACACAAATGAAAAGTCACATAATTCTGTCCAAAACCCAGAAAAGAGGGTTCCACACTTTAGTTATAAAGAGGATCAAAAACTCCTAAAGGAACTGAAAACTGACAAACAGGGTGTAGCAAAGGTTAGGCAGTATTTCACTGTGTAACCATGTTATCAAATGCTGGAAGATGTTCTAGGTTACAATGTCAATGAAGCTCAGACAAGAGAGGAGTACGGAGTTTAGTATGTCACTGGATGTTCAGGGCTGGCCCCAAGTCAAATCAGCTCTCGCTGGGTATGGCAGCTCACACCCATAATCCCAGATACTAAGGAGGGAGAAGTGGGAGGATTGCAGTTTGAAGCTGACCTAGGAAAAACGGAGAGACCCTACCTGAAAAGCATACTAAAGAGCAAAAGGACTGGGGTGCTTTTGCTGAGCAAGCAGGAGACCCTTAGTTCAATCCAGCAGCAGCCCCATCACTTCCCCACCACACCCCCCAAAAAAATTGCACTCTCCCCCCACCCAAAAAAAGAAAAAAAGAACTCAGTCTTCCCGCTGGCCCTTGAGAACGGCATCTGTCCTCCCTGGGAAGACTGCTGGGGGCCCTGATGGCAATGTGCAACACACAGCCTCCGAGAACACTGGGTACAACTGGGCAGAGCACATGCTGCTGGCAGGGGGAGGGGGAGAAGGCGGAAGGGAATGGGGGAGGGTGCCTACTGAAACCTCAGATTTCTGTAAAGCAAGGCATACTGGTTTTTTTTTTTAGTGGGGGGTAGGGTGGAGTGTGGTGGTCATGGGAGAGAGAGGGAACAAAAAGTAACTGTCAAAGATAACCTAAGTAGGAATTCACAGAGAGTAAGGATACAGAACTGCCAGGTGACAACACGGAAGTGTGAGCATGTGAACATGTGATGGCCCCAGCCTTAATCAGTGACACCCCAGTCACCAGCAAAGAGGGTGCCTGGTCCTCTAAGTGTCCTGTGTTCTGGACCTGTAAGGCAGTACTTGATCCATAGGTCTGGCACTAAGTTACTATTACTGTGGTCTAAACTTTATAAAACCAAATACACAAAAACATCTAGCTTTTAGTCTACCTGAAAGAGGGAGGGAGCAGGTGGTGGAAATGAAGAGATGGAAGGTCAGATGCTCTTATTTTAATTTACCAATAACTGCCCAAAAGTGGAGATCCAGAAGGAATACTGGAAACCACACGGTGTGGGTTCCTCACTTCCCAGATGGGAAATGAAGTCCAGCCAGGTCAAATGACACAACCAAGACAACACAGACCAGTGAGTGGATGGGGCACTCCTACTTACCCTGTCCGTCATTTTATTACTGACTCCAAGGAGCATCAACATATTGTCACACTCTGTGACCCCCATGGCATAGAGGTCACTGAGGACATTGGCACATGCTATCCTGCCCTGGGAAGAGAGGGGAAAGGTGAGAAAGGACAAGCAGGGACTTTCCATCATAGAGACAAAGATCAAGCCTATGGCAAGGCAGCCTCTGAGAACTCGGGGCTTTCCAGGAAGGGTACCACAAACACATCGTGGTCCTCCATTCCTAGATGTGCAGACTGGTTACCTTTCCTTATCTCAGAACCACCAGCCATTCACTCTCCCAGACACTCCTGTTACCTCCTCCTCTTGCTTGTGCAGAACAAAGAATTTACTCATTCTTTCCCATTCTGAATATTAGAAGCCTGACTTTTACAGGGAAGAGTGGGATGTGTCAGGAAGTGAAGCATGGTTAGTACTGATGGTCTAGGGAAAAGAGCCAGGGAGTGACAAAGTCTGAAAATAATTACCCGAAAGCTAACTTGGAAACAGTCACTTATCCTAAACAGATTCTAAAAACAATGACTTGATTGGTTATAGAAAAGGAAGCCATTTTTATGTACTTGTAGTAAGAATTTTTTATACCTTCTTTTTAAGGCTGTAAGAAATAAATAGGAAAGCATCTTGCTTGAGAAACAATAAATACAAGAAATAAGAAATATACAAGCTTAGAGTCAGATTGTTTTCTAAAGAACAAAAGTTAAACTATCTCATTTTATGAGGACCTGCAAGAGAAATGTAGCAGCATTTTTACTGCTGTGGTAGATCTTTCAAAACCTAAATTGCTAGTATCGATACTATATTTTTTACAGACAGTAAAGAGAAAATGACAAGTTTTCTTGTGACATAAGGATAACCAAACTCCAAGGCAGTATTATCATTTCCAATGGCTGTTTAATTGCTCTTTTATGTTCTTATGATTCTTGGCAGACAAGAACTTTTGCAGACCCACTTCCAACACCACCAAGCCTAATCAGCAAGGCCAACAGGTAGGTGGTCTGCAACCTGGAGATAAGTGTGTGTGTGTGTGTGTGTGTGTGTGTGTGTGTGTGTGTGTGCGCGCGTGCGTGCAGCAATTTCCGGTGGGCTTTCACATGCTTTAAAGAGATGTTGGGGGAAAAAAAAAGATGAATTCTGGTTCTATCATGTCAGCCACCTGGTCCATAGGACACTTGGGTATGGCTCACCTGGCTCATGTCTCAAGAGTGTTGCTCTACTGGAGCAAACAGATGAAGGTGAGGAAGGAATCTTGATTGGTTCCTAAACATCTGTTTACTTGTACCTGGCACTTGAGAGGTGAACCCCCATTTTGCTACATCATGGCCTAAGTTGCTATTAGTGCAGCTTGATCCCAGTGTCCTGGCCACACAGGAAGGACTTCTGATATTTTATAACAAGTGGGATATATAGTCTCACCTCTTCATTGGCAGTTCTTGGTAGAGAAATGGGGTTAAAGGCTGAATAGATTGAAGGGCTTCTGGCTGCAAACACGCACTGAACAACTGGGCACAGCCCATGCACAATCAGTGGCTAGGAACTTTAATTTAGTGGTCAGGTACATATTGAACACAGAGGCAGGTAATACAGTGGTGGCTGGGCATGCAGGTGGCTGGGTGGGTAGGAACCAATATATTCTAACATTTTTCAGAATAAATGTTCAAGAAGTCTAGATGTGGTAGATGCTAAATTCCTTATTTCCAGACAGAAATATTTAGAATTAGTACTATTACAGAATACAGCAACATCTTTAGCACAGGAGTGCAGTTTATAAAAATGTCAAAGGAAGAAAGGTACCAAGAAAGAAAGCAGAAAATTGAGTCAATAGCACTCTTTTAAAACAGATGTTCTTATGGAGATTCAATTACACTGCAGTACAAAAGCAGCAGAGGAACGGAATCCCCTGCTCTACTTGCCTCATGCACACCACTGATTATGAGCAGGGAACCAGTCCAAGTGCTGTGATGGCAGAAGATGGGGAAGGGCTGAGGTAGTGTAACTGGGACATTGCAAAGGCAGAAACCAAAAACTACAGAAAAGCCTAGCCACAACCCAAAACCAAATGCACAAGTAGTTCCAGTTATAAAAACACTTAGGTCAAACTTACCATCATGTAAGGGTCGTCTACGATGGGATAAATGTAATCCGTGGTTTGAACCAAGGAAAGACCACCATGCCTCAAAGGTATGACGCAAGTATCCATTCCAATGCCTGGGAAGATGGAAGTCAGAAATGTCCAAAAACAAGGGAGAAAGCCATTTTATTTTGTGCGATCAACATTTTGGAAAGAATATTTCAGTATAAGACATTTATGGAAACTCCAGACTGCCAATGAAGTCATGTGTTTCCTATCAAGAAGCATAACTGAAATAAATATGAAACACAACCAGCTTAAGGTAGAAAGTATGAATAAAAATGCTGGTCATCAAGACTCAACTTCAACATGGTGCAACTTTTAAATATTAGTGATGCTCCAAATAAAACTTTTTTTGTCAATACTGGAGTTTGAACTCAGGCCCTTGCACTCCACCACTTGAGCCATGCCCTAGCCCATTTTGGCTTTATTTTTCAGATAGTCTTGAGTTTTCACCTGGGGCTGGCCTTGGACCACAATCCTCCTACCTATGCAGGAAATACTATTGTGACTATTATATTTTAGTCAAGTGAAAATGGCAAAGGACAAAGTCAGAACTTCAACGTCCAACCAAGCACATCCACAAAGACCCTAGCATTTATCTAATCCATTTGTGCCAGACCTCCCAAAAGCACTTTTTAAGAAAAGCTCTTAAAAGCCATCATTCTTTTAGTGAAAAACATAAATGCCTCCTTTACTAACATACTACAAACAGGCACTGGCCTTAAGTTTACCTTTTGTCCATTAAAAAGAAAATTGCTTAATGAGCCTGAGAGAAGTATTTCAATTTATTAAAGATTACTCCTAAATATTTAGAAAGTATGGAATGCTGATAGGCTAATTAGAAAGAATTTTCTTTTCCTAAATAGTTGATAGCATAAAGACTCAGCACAGTATGCTAATCTCTATGAAAATCACCTACCATGCAGGCTGCAAATTCTGACTGGTACATCCTCAAAAGGATGCCCTTGTACCCTCTTAGGAAGTATTTCCACTGCACAGTCCAAACAGCCAAAGGCACAAAAAAACATCAGGATGAAGTGCAAAAGGAAGCAAGTGGATTATACCCTGTAAAACTGGAACTCCAAAGCAAACAAGCAATTCACACCAGAATCCCACTGAAAGGACTTCTCACACTGGTACAGAAGCAAAATTGCTGGGACATGCATCTCATCTTACATCACTGCAGCTGGCCACTGCAGCCCTTTCTCTTTCCTAGTATTGCATTTATTTTGCATTATTACTAATGCAAAAATAAAACCAACCTTAATAAAAAGACACAGCTGATTTTTTTTTTTACTGAACTAGATAGCCAAACAGAAATGCCTGTAAGATCCAGCTGGGGAACAGAGACTAACAAACTGGAGAAAATGGAATACACTTGGCTTAGGCGCAGTTTCATCTGTTGGACAATAACAGCACATGTGCACAGACTCACAACAGTGCTCTTTAGAACATAAGCAGAAAGAGGGCATGAACCACACCTTAACTCAGTTTTTTTAGAGTGACAATTCCAACAATTGGCTATTCTGAGTATATTACTATTCACTCTGGAAAACAATAATAGAATTTTCTTTTGCATTTCTATCTAAACTTCAAGACTACTGAAAGAGGTATAAATAGCTGCTGAATGCTAGCTGCTTTTCAGTACTGGAGTGTGAACTCAGAGCCTTGTACTTACGAGGCAGGCGCCCTACCATTTGAGTCACATTGCCAGCCTTGAATGCTAGCTTTAAATGCTTTTCATTTTAGTACTCTCAAATTACAAAAATATATATACATATATGTGCGCTGTAAATCTTTTTTTTTTTTTTGGAGACAGGGTCTCATTATGTAGCACAGATTGGCCTTGAACTCTCTGATCCTCCTGTGTCAGCCTTCCAAGTGCTGGAATTACATCTGTATACTGCTGTGCTCAGCTTATTCCTACTTCATCACAGTAATGGATGACTCCTGGGCTGAAGAGCAGCTCGCATTGTCCACATCTTCCCTTTCACAATAGTGAGGGCCTGTGCCGTCCCACACAGAAGCCACTGGCCATGAGGGTTAGTGAACACTTGAAGTGTAGCTATTCCAAAGTGATGCACTGAAGTGTAAAACAGACACAAGTTATACAGTACCAAAAAACCCAAACATCGCAGTAATGTTTTCTGTGTGCTGAAAAGATAATGTTTTATATGCTGAGTTAAAGAAAATGTTAGAATTAACTTCACCTGATTCTTTTTTAAAAGTTTGAGTCCTAGAAAATTGGAAATTACTTATGTGGTTTGCATCTATTTCTTTTGGTCAGCATCAGTCTATGATAATTGGTTTAGAAGTCGTCTCCCAAATCTGAAGGAACAGAGAAGGGGTAAGCCTGAGATAGGCCATGTGCCTTGAAGCTTCCAACACCAGTCTGAAAAATCTGTTAATTGTAGGCTTCCTATACCACTAAAATCTTTCATCAAGAAAAACAACCCACTCATATTTCCACTATCAGTGACCTACACGTAACAGATACAAGTATCAGACAACAGATGTACCCACTGCTAAGCTATCCTCCTGCCTTTTTTTTTTTGGTGATACTGGGGTTTGAACACCAGGGGTTTGATACAGGGCCTTGCACACTTGCTAGGCAGGCACTCTATCCTTGAACCTCACCCCCAGCCCTTTTGCTTTAATTATTTTTCAGACAGGGTCTTATGTTTTGGCTTGCAGCTGGCCTCAGGCCATGATCTACCAACCTATACGACCCATGTAGCTCCCATTATGGTGTGTGCCTTCATGCCTGGCTTATTTAAGATGGGAGTGGGGGGGGGGTCTCACTTTTTGCCCAGGCTGGCCTCAAACCAAGATCTTCCTGACCTCTGCCTCCTGAGAATCTGGGATTACAGGTATAGCCAACCATTCCCAGCCCTAAGACACGCTTATTTTAACACTTCTCTAGTTAGATTACATCTAGCAAGTGTATATACCTTTAAAAGCTGTTTTGGCTTATCCTTCAATTAATAACATTTTAGAACTCAGAAAATATGACATTCAATTAGGAAAATTAGGAACAGATAAATATACACATATGTGTATGCATACATGTACATGTGTGTTACATAGGGCACGCATGCACAGAAATGTTTTGGTACTGACTACAATCTCATATAGTAAGTACATTGTCCAATTTTACAGACTGGGAAACTATTTAGTGCTGTACACAAAGTTGAATGGCAACGTTACTACAGCAGGATACGAGTCTAGCTCCGATTCCAAAGCAAAGCTCTGGTTACTGAGACACCCATTTCATTGTGAAGGTTTCCTATTCCACCTCTTTCAGTATACACTGGCTTGACACCTGGGGTTCTGTCTACCCAGGGATTTCCATGAATTCAAATCTACGGGATGTGTGTTTTTCCTGGGAGAAGCTCAGTTTCATTTACTTCTTGAAAGCTCTCTGTATCTGGACTAGTGGTCTTTGGATTCCACCTGCTTTTCCCTGCTCTTCCCTGGCTATCAGACATCTATCAGCCCCTTCTGACACTCCTGATAATTGAAGGCCAAAGTGGTTCCTCTCCCCACTTCCATGGCAAACAAACTTAGAAAGCAGAAGGCCAAGAGAAGATGACTGGAGAAACTGGAAGATGTAAGTCTCACATCCCAACTCCAGCTCTGTCCCACCTTCCTGAGCTGAGGCTATTGGGAGGCATGTTGACCTGGCCCACAGGGGCGCTTGAGCAGAGGGCAGGCCCAAATGCTCAAAAAGACCAACAGGGAAGCTATGAAGAGGAATTATCACTTTATCCATGGTTTTTACTCTGTTTGGTTGATCATTTGGTAGCTGATTTTTCTTGATATTGTTAAGAGTTGCCCCTAGAGTCTCATTCTCAACAAGTCATTGACATCAAATCCACTTCCTTCATATTACTCTTTCTCCTCAGCAAGAGGAGAGGAACAGTTTTCAAACTGAGCTCCTAGGACTTTTACAAGTCAAGGGGTGGGATAAGTTTTCTTCCTTCCCAACCAAAGCAAGTCTGCTTTTATCACCTGTTTTACATACTGGGGCTGAAAGCCTTAGGCCCAAAACCAAGAAGGTACAAGACAGGACTCTACAGTAAAGTAATTGGCAAAACTAAATGAAGTAAGGCATTATACAAGAAGGCTCATCAAGTCACCCTGTAACTACAGGATAGCCAAACCCCCAGGATACACTAAACATTCCCAAGGCAAAATGATCACTATCTTGCATCATGTACTTAGTAATCCACACATCAAACACCAATGAACAACAATCCAGATCCTAGAATTTCTGAGTTCTATGCTTGAGAAAAGGAAAACTGGAAATCTGGAATTTAGTAAAGATAAAGTGTTGCCCTCAACTCTGGGAGCTAAGCACAGATTCATCCTGCCCCTCCTCCCAGCTTTTCACTGAGGCATACTGCAGGGGATTCTAATCCCCTGACTCTGTCACTGCTCTCCAAATCCTGCCCATGATGCTTCAGTCACCACCTTCTGTCCCTGGGGCAGTGAAGAGAGTGTAGCACTGCAGAAATCATTTTAGGAAAAAGGAGTTTCTGCTCAATCCTCAGCTAACCAGAAAACTCACTTTAAGGTAAAAAATGGGGGTTGGGGATTTAGCTCAGTGGAAGAGCGCTTGCCTGGCAAGTGCTGAGTTCGGTCCCCAGCACGGGGGTGGGGGGGTGGGGGGGGGGGGGGTGGGGGGGGGGGGGTGGGTAAAAAATGCTTTTCCTGTACTGTAATGATAGTTTAACAACTGTTAATAGTCCATGCCTTGATCCTTTTCAAGTATTTCCTCTAAATAAGTTACATTAACACAACAGTTTCCATTTGGATTGCTCCTGGAATCCTCCTCACAGAAATTGAAAAGTACAAGCAACAGGGGAGAAGTCCAGCTGACCAGACCTCTGGATCACAAAGTATCAAAGAAATAATGGTTTACAAACATACCCAGCCTTGGCATGACGGCTCCCAGAAACTGCTCATCTTCTTGGAAGTGGTTTTCTTGCAAAGACTCCAGCAACTTCTGCAGGACATCTTGGGGCACTTTGCAGCCTGTGCCCTTCAGTTCAGTAAATCTCGTTAGCCGGAAGCTCTTGTCCAATTCATAACTTTCCGGGTTAAAGGACTCCCGCGTAGACATGGTTCTGGGGCCCACACTCCTCACAGTTCAGCCCCTCCCCTCCCTCTCTCACGATCAGCTGGGTTTTCTACTTCTGATCCACCTGGTATCACCAAGACACAAAGACTAGGTTAAAAGAATTTGAACTGTTACTTGCCAAGAGCTGAAATCACCAAGACCAGGGGAAACAGTGGTGGGGCATAACTTGTTCATGGTGATGCATAAGCTGGAATAAATCATTCTAAAAAGGGACTGTCATATCACAGAGAAATAGGAAGGTCTGTCATCTGGAGTGTGGTTATAATGGTGGCTATGAAAGCCAGCAAGCTCCCATACCACCTGCCAAGGAACAATGTCCCAAAGGTTTTTCTAGGGTGCAGTATTGAGAACAGCACTGCCAGTGACTTCACATGTCACCCTGGAAGCAGTACAGTTTTAGATAGTACAGGTCTTGGCTAAAGTAACTCTTCTGGAAAACCTTTGATATCTTTTGCTATTTCACGGAAAAAAAACACCTAATAGAAACTGCAGAATAGGACATTTATACAGATTCATTTCATGAAATTCCCTAGATGCTAAATCCTAATTTTGGAAAAACATCTTTCCTTTTGAGCCAGTACACAACACACCCAGAAACTAACAGGAGACCTCCGTAAAGGACACAATTTAACAATCTCAGTGACTGTAGAACAAAGTAAGTCTTGTGTTCTTCAACAGAGCATTTGGAAAGTTCTCTGATGTTTTAATGCAGTGCTGTTTCCTAGAAAGCAAACATCCCGCCCAACAAAGCAGTACACACATCATTGACAAAATATCCTGCTGCTCATTACCATTCATTACAGAACTAAAACAGTAAATTAAAACATACAAATCACTAGCATTTACAGTGCTGGGTACCACCGTAAAAAAGTTTTTGGAACAAAAGCTGTTCTAAGTTTGAAGCCTTCCAGCTAAAGCAAAAACCATGTGCTCCTGGGGTTTACAAACCTCCAGATTGATACTTTATTGGGCATAGAGTTACAGACACCCCAAGTTTTAGGGTCAGTTTCCCCTATAAAATTTATGATTAAGAACATAATTCCATTTATAGAGTTTTCCATCCCCTGGGAGGCACATTGCTCATTTAAAATAAATTTCACAAAGCCCGAGTGTGGGCAGTAATCCAAACCGTCGTCACAAAAACATGTTTGGGATGCGGGATGATTTCAGCAGGAAACTACAGACAGGCATTTCACACCCCATTCCAGGAAACCAACCAGCCCCCAAAGTGCACCGGGGACACGGAAGTTAGAGACAAGAGTCTTTTTTAGTTTGGAAAGGATCTGAATAGCACTTCAACTTGGAAAGACATGGAACAAAACTAGCAAACTCCATGACAAAGCTGCCTTGCACTTAGCACCGCCTCACCTCTACCAGGAAAAAAAAAAATTCAACTCAAGAGGCATCCAGGTCTTTTCCTACTTCCAAACCTTATCCCCCTCCTACCGGACCACAGGCGAGGGGGTAATTTTGGGAACTACCGTCCTTTCGATTTTTGTTTTCCCACACTTTGGGGGACAGGGGGTGGAAAACCTTCCATCACAAGACGCTCAGCCCTTTTTAAAATTCCAAGCAGAATGAGAGACAAGTCACAGATTTACATCCCGATTTCAAAGAAACCTCAACTTACATTTTTTTAAAAAAATTCTCTTGGTGGTGGGAGAAGGGGGTGAGAAAGGGAGTGGGGGCTTGGGGGGAGAAAGTGGAGAGCAAATTTGCACTCTAAGAGTCAACTAGGACCTCGCGGCCACATGTTTACACCTTTAAAACAATGACATGAATATTTAAAGATAACGTTTAACCCTTTCCTTCCTGGGCACGTTTCAATCCAGGGCACAGAGCGCGCGCGCGGGACGCGGAGCTCGGCGGGCGGGCATGCGCGCGTGCGGTGCGGTGCGAAGCGTAGGGCGCGCGCCCCGGCCCCGCCCGGTACCTACCTACCCGCAAGCCCCCAGGCCCCACGCGTGCACAGAAGGGTGGGCACCGCGGCGTGCGCGTTGGGGCCCGGCGCTCTCCATGCGGCCCGTGGGCGCAGGCGGAGGACCGCACTTAGTCGGGGACACCTTAAGTCTCAGGCTGCCGCCTTTAAAGGCACCGCAGGCCTGGGCCACGCTCTTTGTGAGGCGTTGCGCCGCTGGCCGGCGGCCGGGCAGAGGCTGCGCGGCGCTGTCGACTGCGCCATGCCCGGCTTGGCTCGGGCCGTCCCGCGGCGAGAGGGAGTGCGCGGCCCACGGTGCGGGGGCAAGCGGGCGCCAAAGCGAGCGCGGCCCCCGGGTCCCCGAGCCTGGGTCCCGCGACGGCCACGGGGCCTGAGGAGCGCGGGCCGGGTGGGGGCGGGGAGGCCCAAGGCGCCGCGCCCGGGACACCGGGCTGGCTCTCCGCCGCGCGCAAAAATGTCGGCGGGAGAAAAGATTAACCCCTGCGTGGCCGCCGCCGCCCTCCCCCTCGCCTCCTCCCCGCCTCCTCCTCCCTCCTTCCCCGGCCTCGCGCGGCGGCGGCGGCGCGGGCGGTGCTTCTTTTTAAAGCGGCCCCACCAAGCCCTGGCTCTGCCCCTCTCCAGGCAGGGTTGGAAGGGCCGCCGTGCACGGCTCCCCGGCGGTCCCGGGCGGCCCGGAGGGGGATTTGCAACGGCCGCCGCGGGCCTGCGGACCGAAATTCCCCTTTAAGCCTGGTGTCTCGCCCCCCCTCGCCAGGCCCGCCGCTTACCGGCTCGCTTTGCGCCCTCCGCCTCCTCCCGAAAACGGGCCGCGGCGCTCCCACAATGCACCGGGCGCGCCGGGTTCCCTTAAGCGTCGCCTGAATAAAAATGCTGCTCCGGGCGGCGGCGGAGGCCCGGCTCGGCCTAGCTGGGCGCGGCCGTTGCGGGAACCGGGCCGCCGCGGTCCCGCCGGCTGGGTGCGAGGGTCCTTTAAGGCCGGCCACCTCCCTTTAAGAGGAGGCGGCGGGCCGCGGCCGGGGCGGCTTGGTGGCTGCGTGCGGCCCGGGAAGGGGGCGGGGGCGCTGTGCAGGCCCGAGCGCGGCAATGATTGGTCTCGGGGGAGGGGGTGGGGGGTTGCAAACCCGGGGAGCGGTGGCATCCGTTGCATGATGCAAAAAAGGATTGATTTCAAAAGTTGCGAGTTGCATTGGTAGCAGCCATGGGCGCCGGGGCCACCTATTTTTCCCCGACCAGCGCTGCAAGAGCCGGGAGTGTTTTGCCCCCACCTCGCCAGATTCCACTGTGCTGCGCCCACGGGCCGGGGACGCGGTACCTGCTCCCTGAGCGCAGCCGTGGAAGGGTTCTGCAAGACAATGACCATGGAAACAATTTGCAAAGGACTGTAAGAGCCGAGGACAGCACCCCCCTCCCATCCCCCTGCTCCAGTGAAAGATTTGAACGCAAACGGCGCGCTGGATCCTCGGGGACTCCCAGCATCTCTTCCACCTATTGTTTTGCCGGGCTCCCGAGTTCATTGGAGCCTCCGTAAAATATGCAAATGTTCTGCAAAGTTTCTTGAGCACTCGATAGGCTTGGTAGGAAGTCTGGGGGCGGGGGTGGGGAAGAGCTTAAGATTTCCCAGTTACAACGTTTGTACTTCACATGTCCTAGTAAACATGGCAGCCTAATCCTGCGGGTATTTGAATTGACATTGGTGACGCACCTCCACCTCGTGAAAAAACTTCAGGTTTCCGATTTTCTGATGCAAACAAAGCAAGATGCTTCAATACCTCGTCGTGTAGCGCTTCTCTTAAAACTGAGCAGAGTGGAGCAGAGTGGAGAAATATCCTACCAAACTCCCTTTGCAGTGGGTCAGCATTTCCCAAAGATCTTGGGGGGGGCAGAAATATTTTAGGGCATGGAACTGGGCTTTATGGGTGTATTTACAGGCTTGGACGCTTCACCAATGGTATCCTTTTCCTTGAAATTTTTGTTTGCCAGATTCCTGGAGTTCGAATCTAGGGATACAGAAGTGATGCCAGGTGACACAGGTGCTTCCAGTTTTTGTGTCCTTTCTCCGTGCCCTACAATAAGTTTGGGAATACGGTGTTGGACTTTCGTAAGAGCAGCGTTACCCTGTGGTTGACAAACCTGGAGTTGACCTGTGAACCGCCTGCAAAAAGGACTGAGGAGACTCAGTCAGCTAAGGCATAGGACTCCAGAATGGGGGGGCGGGGGCGAAGATACCTTTATTCTTTCCCCCCTTTTAAATTGATTTTGAACAATGGGAGGTGATTTTACACTTGATCTTAGTCAAAAGGCAGAGAAGTGATGTGGTTTTTTTTAAAGCAAAAAATCATAATTAGGAAAAACAATAGGGTGGTGGTGGTCCAGGTAGAGATCAGTAGGATCCCATTGAAGATTTGTATGTCACATTATGTAGTTTTAGCCCCCCTAAAGGGGTGAAGGAGGCCACTCTTGTAGTTATGAGTTTACTGTGCTTGCACCTGTACTTGAAATGAAATTGGGGCGGAGAGGGCAGAGAAATTATGCAACCAAGGGAAAGAATGTGATGTGATTTAATGTGTGTAAGAAGGAGAGGAAGAAGCATCAGAAGACCCCTACCATTTCTAACTCTGGGGGACTGGTGGGTAGTGATGCCACTAGCTGATACAGGAACTTCTGGGAGGCAAATACGTTTTGGGGTGAGTTCAGCTTTGGAAATTTTAAATTTCAGACCCACCAGATATTCTAGGTAGTTGGGAAACCACTCTGAGTTTGAGATGTAAATCTGGGTGCCATCAGCCTATAAATGATGCCTGAGTCTGGAGAAAGATGGGATTAACCTAGAGCGAAGGATCAGGACAAAAGCAGAGACCTTGGACAGAGCTGTGCAGAACTAGCAATCCAAGCAGGGCCAACCAAAGGCTCATCCCTGCCACATCTGTAGCAACCAAATGTCCCCAGAACCAGCCCTTCTTCCCTGGGGCTGGAGTGCTTCGGCAGCTTTGAAGAAGTCTCCATCTGCCCAGAGCTGTGCTGCTGAGCTACACCCCAGCTCCCCAACGTTCTCTGGAATCCAGGATGTAGATTCTTGATGGAGCCGCAGACACCTTGCTTCATCTTGGACCCTACTCCACCCTGGGGCCAGACCTCTCATCCCCTTGAAGCTCCTCCCATGGGTATTGCTTTGCTTTTGTACCCCCCCCACCTGTCATTCTTGCTCAAGGGATCATCAGAACCCCATTCCAGGAAGCTATCTCCCTTAGGTTCTCAGGCTCTCCTGGTGCCATCCAGGAGATGGTTCCCCTGGGCTGCATTACCTGGCTAAAGTTTATTAAAAGTACCAAGTACTAGCCATACTTAAAAAGATACATGTAACAGGTGTGCTGGGTTGAATTCTGTCCCCCTACCCAAAAGATATGTAGAAGCCCCACCCCTGTACCCAAGAAGAATGTGGCCTTGTTTCGAATGTTTGGCTGGGGACACAGATCCGTGGAGCAGCAGTTGCCTGGCCTGTGTGAGGCCCTGTGTGTGAGCAGGCTCCCTCTGTGTTTCTGTGCTTTTAAGGAACATTCCCCTAAGAATTTTGCTTCCTCTAAAATCCAGAGGGACAAGATGTGAAGTTGTTTTCAATTTGGCTACTTCTGAATTGTTTTTGCGGTCTCATCTTTCCCTGTCCTTCACTCCCATTCACAAACCTCCCAACACTGAGGTTCATCAGGTTTGTCTTGACTTTCCTTCTGAGCCTCTACTTCTTACGTTGCCTGTGGCTTCTAGAACAGTGCTACCTCCCATACAATAGCTGTTTCCAACGTGTAGCTCTGGAGTGCTGAAGTGTCCAAATTGAAAGTGCCCCAACTGTAATATGTATATACATTGGATTTTGAAGACTTAAACAATAAAGGGTATAAAATGTCTTGATAATTATATAGACGTGTGTGTGTATATATATATCTATATATCTATTACTGAGGATGGAGTTCAGGGCTTTGTGTAGGCAAGTTCTGTACCACTGAACAACCCCCAGCGCCTCATGCTGTTCTGATATGTTGGGTTATATAAAACATAGTGTCAAAATTAATTTTTTTTTCTGGGCATGGTGCTTTACGCCTGTAATCCCAGGCCTTGGAAGGATCATGGGTTTGACAACAGCCTGGGCTACATAGTGAGAACTTGTTGCAAAGACAATTTTGTTTTAAATCTGTTTGCTTTTACTTTTTTGACATGGTCACTAGGACATTTAAGGCATGGCGTGTGGTTCATATGACGTGTCTATGCCAGCACTGCAGTAGGGAATTCCTAACCCCCGAGCCCTCAAGTTCTTACACAAGTGCCCCACAAACACTTCCAGACCCAGATAGTCCTTTTGCTTCCAGCCCTGCCTTGCCCTGCCCCAGCCTATGCCCTGTCTAAGCTCTTGGCTCTTGGACTAGTGTGCGGGTGTGGTACATCCTGCCATGACACCAGCTCCTCCCACTCTCCCTGTTAGCAGCCACTTGTGCCTCCCTGGTGTTTTTTGCACTGAGATTCTCCCCTCCACTCCCACTGCTCCTGTCTTTGTTTATGTCCTCATCTCCCACCCCACTCTTGTGGATGGATCCTAATTGACTCTGTTTTTGCTGTGTTTCATCAGTCTGAATCAGTCCAAGTTGATCCATGCTGCAGAATGACAATTTGTCAAAGGCAAACCGGACCATGTTCTTTCCCTTCTCCTAACCCTGCCAGTGGCCTCCTCTGCCTGTGGCCGAATTTCTCACAGTCTGGTATTCATTCATGAGTATGCATGGGGGTTCCCATGGTACACGGAGGAACACTTTCTTGTTGTGGTTAAATATCCATTTTAATGCCTCCTGGAAAGTTGTGACTAACTAACATATAAAACGTGTGATTTCACAGACACTATTGTTTGGGACAAAAGCAAGTCAATTTAGGGACTGCTGGTATAGCTCAGTGGGAGATTGCAAAAGGCCCTGGGTTCAATCCTCAGCACAAAACAAAAAATTATGAAAAAGTGAGTCAATAAACACAAAAACAAGCATGGCTGACTGTATACAAACTCAGATATAGAACTCAGATATGGAACTACTCTATGGAATCGGAAAAAAGGGAAAAGAAGAACGACAGAGCATCAGTGATATAAAAAGTAAGATCTATGAAGGTAGAGGATATAATGATGTGTACTGAAAGCTGTTGAAAAATGGGGGGGTGGGGGGTAAAGGGGTAAGGGAGAGTGTTCGAAGTAAAGCACGCCACAGTGGGCATACATTGAGACACCCCTTTGAAGGGCAACTTAAATATTAACAATGAAAGACAGGACTGTAAAATAGGTACAGTGTGTGGGGAGGGAGGTACTAGTGGGATGGGAGGGTGAAGGAAGGAAATTAAGGTGAGGTATACGGTTGATGGACATCAAACACCTATATGAAACAGAACAAAGAAACCTCTTGCAATTGCTCTAAGTGGGACGGGAAGGGGG